TTGGAGTACAAGTTTTCAAAATAGCCCCCTAATGATCCCCTAGATTTCTGTGGTGTCTGTGGAGATTTCTCCTTTTTCTCTTTTTGTCTTTTGATTGGTTTGGCTAAGGGTTTAATATGCCTTGTTTATCTTTTCAAAAATCCAACCTTTTTAGTTTCATTGATCCTTTGCATTGTTTTTTATTATTATTTTCTATTTTACTAATTTTGGCTCTTCTTCTACTGTTTTTTGTAATTGTTATTTTATTCTTCTTCAATGGTCTTGAATTGCATCATTAGTTTGTTTATTGGGATTGTTCTGATTTTTTTATATAAACACTCAAAGCTACAATTTTTCCTATTAGTGCCACATTCATAGTGTCCCAGAGGTTCTGGGGTGTTATATCACAATTGTTATTTGATTCTAAGAATTTTTTTTAATTTCTTCTTGGAGATCCAGCAATTGTGTTGTATATAAAAGGGTATACAAGGTCTACCCTTTATCACTTAACAACCTAACAACTTAACAACAACTTAACAACTTAGTATATCCTAAAGGAGTATAGGAGCAATCTAGATTGAGACCCTCTCACAGGAGTGGTATCCAAAGTTTTTGGCTAATTTTCTCTGGTTTTTGGTGTAGGACTGGATGTCCATGAGTGGGAACTGATGTTCCTCCCTAGCTGTTTCTACCTGAGGCCTGGTTGTTGGTTTGGGGGTTTTCTCCCCTTTTCTTTAAAGTATCATTGAAGTTTGAGCGTGGTTAATTTGTGCATGAAGCATGCTGTGCCATCTCTAAGCTGGGTTTTGGATATAGCTGAGCAGCAGAATGAACTCATAGTATCCCAGTAGATTCCCAGAGTCTCACTGAGAAGCAGTACTCCTGCTGCTTGAACCCAGAGCCACAGAGCAACTGGAAATGCAGCCTTCCTCTAATCTGCCATCTTGAATCTCTAATCTGATGTTTTAAATTGCCTAGTTCTATTAAACGTTAAAAGTACTCTAAATTCTTAATAAGCAGATTATTCCTACATTAAGATACAGTGCCAATGTTACAGATTTGATTAATTTTATCATCTCTATATTTAATTCTAAAATTTGTCATAGTTGCAAATACACATATCCATTAATGGGAGAATTTTACCATATCAGATCAGCAGGGGTTTCATCTCAAACCAACCACGGTTATTTTTAGCCAACAACTCTATTATCAGAACATAGTATCTCAAGTTTCTTAGACCTGCAATGATTCTTCCCTAAGCTTCAACAATAAGGAAGTGCATACTCTTTGATGTCAATAGGTCTTAAAGCCACATCACCTGTATTCAATTTAGAACTTTGGTGCTGTCAGGTTCAATGCAAAGGGGCCTGCAAATTAAATAAAAGGCTGATAAAACAGGAGGAAAAAAATATCATATTCAGAAGCTAAGAAAAAAAGTTGCTAGCTCACTAAATGATTAATATTAGAGGCTAATACACCTAACTTAATAGGGGAAATGGAACAGGGAAAGTTTCTATGGGAAAAAAGAAAAAAGTAGATTTCTTTAGAAAAGGCAAAGAGGATTTTAGGAGAATGCATAGAAGATAATAAAGTTTGTGATGTTTGATGCATGAAGGTGTGGGTGCTCTATCCTTCCTTTGAAACTATGAATCTCCCTAAGGAAGGGATTTATGGTACGTTTACTCTTGGTCTCTCTCCTAGGAGTAAACTCCCCCAAAAGAGGGAGTATGCCAGATTTATTTCCCAAAAGTTTCTGTTTTTAGTCAGATAAGGAAAGCTCTGAGAAGGTTTATTTCTGTATCTGTTGATTCTCAAATGTCTTCACCTTATAATATCAATTTGGGATTCCAAGTGAGTTCCCACATCTTTTTAAGAATAATCTTACAATAATTAGGAGAAGGCAGAGAAAGAGGAGATAAAGCCATGATTCACATGAATAATGAGGAAACCAGTAAGGTGCTACAAATAATTCAAAGGAAAAATCAAAGCACACACATAAAGCATCAACATGAAGGCTGAAATAAGCTTGCTTTATACCCACCAAAATGAACCCACTATCCATGGGACAAAATTCAATGTATCCACAATCTGCATTTCAATCACAAAATCTGCATTTTCATGGACCGTCATTATCTACATTATTATAAGTTTGCTGCAACCAACAGAGTTGCAAAATATCTCAAAGAAGATGTGAGCTAGAGATAATCTAGTACAGGAATCTTCTCTTTTGTTCCACTTCAAACTTTCACATTTTTTCCTGTGGTATCATTGGCCCAGGACAAAAACAGCACCCAGAGGCAATGGGTGGCCAGGTTACACAACCACACCATGTTTACTTGTCCCTCTGTGAACGATTACTTTTGTAACTCTAGGAACAACTTTATTACGTTTGTAACTCCAGGGACACAATATCACTTTTTCTATTTATTAGTGCTATTATAGGGTGGCTTATTGCTGTCTTAAAGATATGGTTCCATAGTAAAATGAAACATTTTTTCTACTCCTTTATATTTTGCTTTTGATTTCTCCAAAACTTCCCCACTAAGATCAGTTATTGGCCCTGTGCCTTTCTACTTCTTGTCCTGAACAATTGAGTCCTAAAGCCATTTGGTGGATCAGAGGAAGGTATTCTGTGCTGGGAGTGATAGAGGAGTTGCAGTGGCCCAGATGGGAATTTCAGAGATTCACTGGGGGAAGAGGGTGTCCATAGTGGACCCTGGTGCCTGGTATCAAACAGGGTGAGGAGCATGCTCATGAGAGAATGCTGCCCATTACAGGGAGTGAGGGGAAGAGAACATCCACACAGGAAAGGGGACTTATCAAGACAATAAATATGTTAAAGAAAACAGAAAGCAGGTGCTTCACTGTCAGAAAAGGGAGAAATAGAAATGCAAGAGGAGAAACTTAGACTGGATCTTTTTTTTTTTTCTTTCTGTGGTGCTGGGGATTGAACCCAGGGCCTGGTGAGTGTGAGGCAAACACTCTACCAATTGAGCTATATCCCCAGCCCCTTATAGTGTGGGATAGGAATTGGAGACTAACTCACAGTTTGCAGTATCTACAGATAACATCAAGAAGTATTTACATAAATGTGTATGGTTATTAATAACTATATATATATATATATATATATATATATATATATATATTCCTTAGTCTATTTGTTGAGGGTCTTATTAGTGATAATGCCCCATGTTATGGTTTAGATCTGAGGTTTCCACCAAAAACTCATGGGACAACTTTTGCTTCTTATATTTGTATCTCTAATTTTTATTTTCAACAAATAATTTTCAGCATCCCTAACCAGGACCACAAACAAATAATGACAAGGACTTCATCTACAATGCATTTTTCTTTCTGGCAGCAGGGAGATGAAATTAAAGAAATGGAAACAATTTGAAAGCCTATGTGTGATGATATTTAATGAATTGCCTTTTGGAATAGATTGGAGATCTGGTAGGGAGAGACTCTTATAGACTGCTTTTTGTAATTTCAAAGTTCTTACAGTCCTATTTATTCTACTTATTCTATTTATAACATTCTATACAACCTTCTTATTCTGACTTTGAAGGTTTAACAGTGCTGTTTTTTTAAAGCAGACTTCTTTGGGGTGGGGGGTGCCAGGGATTGAACTCAGGGACACTCAACCACTGATCCATATCCCAGCTCTATTTTGTATTTTATTTAGAGACAGAGTCTCACTGAGTTAATGCTTAGCACCTCGCTTTTTGCTGAGGCTGGCTTTGAACTCTTGATCCTCCTGCCTCAGGCTCCCAAGCCTCTGGATTACCGGTATGTGCCACTGTGCCAGGCTAAAGCAGACTTTTTTTAGAGTCATTTTAGGTTCACAACAAAATAGAGTGCAAGGCATAGAGACTTTCCAGGTACTCTGACATGCATGGCCTCCCCACCTTCCACATCCCCCACCACAGTGACGCATTTGTTATAAACAATGACCCTACATTGACACATTATGGTCATCTGTGACACATTATGCTCATCCTTGGCATTGCACCTTCTGTGAGCTTTAAATGAATGTGTACTTACAGGTATTCACAATTACTGTATTGTTGGGGCTCAGAAAATGATACCCCCAAGTGAAGATCTCAGAAGCAAAGCTTCTCTTTAACCTTCTCCTGCCCTCTTGGGGCATTCCTCCGCTGCTGGTTATAGAAACCAGAATCCTTTTTCCCCAAAGCCAGCCATAAAACTCTTCATAACCACTTCAACCACCTGCACTTCCCAGCCCCATAGGGGATTTCATTTTCTTCCTTCCAAACTCAGTTTAAATGGCACAGTTTCACAGAGAACCTCTGCTAAGCCCAGTACAGAGTTTCCATTCTAAAACCTTAGTTATTGTTCTTTCTGCTCCTCTCACAGTGTGTCTTCCCAATACACAGCAACCTCCACAAGGGCAGGAACCCTGTTTCATTCAGTGCTATATGCCCAAAATCCTGCATGGGGCCTCATGCTTAGGAACACCATGAGCCTGTGGCATGTGCTTTCCTGATGTCCTCTATGTCTTCTTCCTCTGATATCAGACCAGCCCTTATTCTGAGCCTTATAATAAGAATATAGTAGTTGGGCTGGGGATGTGGCTCAAGCGGTAGCGCGCTCGCCTGGCATGCGTGCGGCCCGGGTTCGATCCTCAGCACCACATACAAACAAAGATGTTGTGTCCGCTGATAACTAAAAAATAAATATTTAAAAAAAAAAGAATATAGTAAATTCATGCTTTTTAGAATTATTGGAGAGAGGACTTCCCAAGTGAGAAACAGCATGAACAGAGGCACAGAGGAGTAAATTCTGGAATCTTCTAGAGATATGGAAAAGAGCATCATACTGAAGTTTAGGTCCTTGGGAAAATAATGGGCACTGGAATAGAAAGGTAAAGCTGCCACGTGGAAGATTGTACAAGCCGGGATGAGAAAGCCATATGGTTAGAAAATACCAGCGGGATGCATGTTTTGCAATGCCATTGTGATAACTTCTCCAAATGTTATGTCTTCTCTTCATCACAGTCACTCATGGGAGTGGACAGGATGTCCAGTGCTCCCTTGGACATTTTCCCTGTGGGAACATCACAAAGTGCTTGCCTCAGTTTCTCCACTGCAACGGCGTGGACGACTGTGGGAATCAGGCCGACGAGGACGACTGTGGTGAGTGAAGTCCCCAGAGTCCTAGCAAGAAAGGGGGCTCAAAGGACTGACAGTGACATTGCTGAGACTGCTCTCGACAGAAAAAGAAATAGAAAAGGAAATATTCCATTGAAATACAAAACATAGGTTGCTGGAGGGATCTTACATTTATTTCCTTAGTTTTAAATATGCATTCTTTTATGCATCACAGTATAATGGTCAATATTTCAGGAAAGCAGTGTTTGTGCAGAGTGTTGTAACCATGAACACGCCTGGTTCATGTCTTAGAGTCGTCATGGTGTAGAAATTAAGACTGTTCTCTGGAACCAGGCTGCCCAGAACCTGGGTCCCAGAAGAATCAATCACATAAATACAGGAACAATTCTTAACCTCTCTGTGCATCAGTTTTCTTGTTTTATAAAATAGATTGATGATTGTACCACACTCTGATAATTTGGGGAGATTAAGTGTAAAGGATTAGAGAATGCCAGACACATGGTAGATGCTTCGTGTTAGGTACTGTTCCTCTTTCTTACCGTTAGCAGTAGTGTTAGGGAGAAAGTGACACCTCCTAATAAAGAAAAAGAAAATATGTAAATGCAAGTTGCCTATTACCAAGAATGACCTTACTTATGACTTTTTTATAAGGCCAGTAAGTAGGGCTTACAGACAATAGAATACCTAAGAAAATAGCTTTTAGTTAGGATTTCGTTCACATACCCACAATATTAGAAACACAAATTTTAAAAAGAACTTGAATTTCCTGGAGGTGGCACACTAGAGGGAAAAAAAAAATAAGCTTTTGGTCAATAATGTAAAATAATAAGATTTCTATTCATGGAGAAATATGGTACTATCTTTGGAGGACAAAAACGTGCATAACAATGTTAATATTTGAAATGCTACACAAATAATATTCCTGAAGAATTCTTGCTATTAACACCCCCATCCCCCCAACACACACACACACACACACACACACACACACACACACACAAGTGTAGCAGGCAAGCTTTTATAGGCATACCTCAGAGGAATTACATTTTGGTTAAAACAAATTAGGATAGAGACCAGGCTTGAAATTCCCCAACCACAGGCCACCTAAGCAAAATTTAACTCCTGTAAATAACACTTGTAACTAAAGCAAATTTAGTTATTTCTTGTAAATGCTTCTGATAAGCACAAAGAAAACATAAATTATCTCCCTAAATTGATATAAAGAATTCACTTTTAACCAATCCCCTGCCATATGGAATTCCCATTGTAGTACTCCATAATTGTAAAGGCTTGACAACTTTATCTTTGTTTGATAAGCCACTCTATATGCCTCTGAGCTTGGGTCTAAGTCCCCCCATAGTAAATTATACTTTCTCTTATCGTATGACAATAAACCTTGACTTGTTTTGCTATTGTTATTTGTAGAGCTGGGGATGCATCCAGAACCTGGAGCATGATAGGCAAGTGCTCAACCATGGAGCTACATTCCTGATCCCAAACTTTTACATTTTTCTAACTCGATTGATTGTATTTTCAGCACTCTCCTTTTGGTACACTGTCTCGAGATGGTGGTGGTAACTCTATAAGTAATTACCGTCTCTAAACTGGTGAGCTAAAGTTACAATTACCTTTGATTTGGAAAGTTATAAAATTACTTTTAAAATAAAACAGCATATTGCTAAAATAACTGAAGAGTACATCTTAAAAAGAAATTAGTTTCAAACAGTATTTTGCACGCTGCCATCCACTTCCCTCTCAACCTGCTGGTGATTGAGACAATGTCCTAGACAGAACCACAGTGAGTTTTGCATCAGTTGAAATGGCCACAGGTAGCTGGAAAAGGAGTTTGGTAGCTGCTCTAAATTCACCACCCAAAGTAGGTTCTCTATGGGGGAAAGAAAAAGTTGGGGAACTCTGGCTTCAATGTGAAGTTTAAAGGAACCAAGTAACAAGAGTAGGAATCCCTACCTTAATAATCATTCAAGTCATACAAGTTTATCCGGAGTCCCCAATCAGGGATTCAGAGGGAGGGGATAGGGCATTTGGGTTCAAAGAATGGACTCAGGGGTTGGAGATTTGGACTTAACATTCTGGCTATGAAGGAAAATAAAAATGCCTCTTTTCTTTTCTGTAAGAAGAGAATATTAAGACTATCTGGGTTGCTAAGAGGACTCAATGAGATATTCTATTTAAGATGTTTACCAGGATACAGGTGTTATGGACTGAATGCTTATATCCCCCCAAAATTAGTATGTTGAAATCCTATACCCTAATGTGTAGTGGCAGCCATCTGGAAATAGAAAGCAATTTTACTCTGCTCGAAACCTCAAAGGTGGCCAGTTGGCATGTTGCTTCTGTCTGTGCCTGAGAAAGCTGGAACTTTTTAGGGAGGGTGGCAGAATTCATCACCATCTTTAGAGTCCAGGTGATAAAAATTATGAGGTGGAGTTATTTTTGTTTGCCTCTCATTGATTCAATTTCCTGTGCCAGCTGTGCAGTTTGTGGTTGGTTTTTTTTATTTTTTTATTTTATAGTATCTGGATGAATTGTGTTCCCAAGGCTGTTCATTTTAAGTCAGGCTTATTTAAATTCTTTTTAATGCTATTTATTTTTTATTAACGAGTATTTTTTTATTTGTTCTAATTAGTAATACATGACAGCAGAATGCATTTTGATTCATTGTACACAAATGGAGCACAACTTTTCATTTTTCTGGTTGTACACAATGTAGAGTCACATCATTTGTGCAATCATACATATACCTAGAGCAATAATATCCTTCTCTTTCCACCATCTTTCCTACCCGAAGACCCCCTCCCATTTGCCCAATCCAAAGTTCCTCCATTCTTCCCATGTGCCCTCCCCCCATTATGGATCAGCTATTTAATGTTATTTAAATTAAGTCAGAAAACTGGTTCTTGCAGAATAGTAAACTTCATGCATATTTGAATAAGTAATATTAGATACACTTACAAACATGTAAAATACAATATTTTAACACTTATAAAAAAACACAGTTAAAATCACTTTCAGAATGATTTAGAACTAAACAGTATATTGTCAAATAAAATGTCTTTTTTTAATGGAAAGAGAAACTTTTCTTAATCAGACCTCTTAAGGTAAAACAACTCCAAAAACTTCTCCCTTACTCTTTTAAACTATGTAAACCTTGTCACCAACAATGATCATTAAAATGGAAAAATAGGTCAAATAGGAATAGTGGAAACAAAATTTGAGGGACACACACACACACACACACACAAAAAAAAAAAAACCTACCATCTGATTCCCCATATACTGAACTATGGATGAACTATTTAGTTTGGAAAGAGCTGTTGCTTTTGAACTATCACAGACATTTTAAACAAGTACAATTATTTAAGTTTAAAGTCATGGTTTCCTCAGAAAACCCATAAGTAATTTCTCCATAACTGTAACTTTAATAAAAGTTTTAAAAATAAAATCTCAGTGTAAAAACCATTAAGACATTGAAACACTGAACACTTTTCCTGGACACAATGCAAGCAAAAGCAATAGATTTTAACTTTTTCAGTTGATTTCATAGAAATCCTTTCTTTCTAAAATGTTTGGCAATATAGAACTTATATACATGTATAGACATACTTGTGTCAAAATTGACTGTACTCTTTTTATAACTTTGATTCTTACAGATAAATTTCAACATACAAAAGTACAATGAGTTTTACTATTTAATACAAGTCCCATTAATTTCTGCATGTTTTTTGCTACATGTCACTGACCCATCTTAATAATCCCTACCTTTCACAGATGCAATCAGAGTAGAGGCCAAAACAAATTTTTAAGTCATCAGAACTATGTTCAGTATGACTATAACAAACTGAAAAAATTGAGATCTTTCATTTTTCAGCTAGAACTCTCAGATACTTGGGATAATATGTCTGGGCAAATACCAAGGGAAACTGATTACAAATATATGAGGGTTTTCATTTAGGAATTATCCATGTTCATTTCAAACTGAATGATAACTCAGTAGGAAAAATGCAATATTAAATAGCATCAAATTCTGAGATGCAGGCTGGAGATATAGTTCCGTGGTAGAGCAGTTGCCCATTCTCAGATGATATTGAGTTAATTCATTATATCTAGATTTTTATTTAAAAGGAGCCCTTTACATTTCCAGATTAGAAACTGCCAGACTTCCGTCCTCTGTGTTATAAACAGATGACTGAGCCAAGCTCCCCCTCGCAGTTTCAATAACCCAACTTCATCCCGGAGACAGCTTGACTTACTCCATGTGGAGACCCAAGATCTGATTCCTCTTCTCTGTAGACTTGTTCTCTAAACATCCCGCACCTCCTCTGCACTCTAGCAGCCTCATCTGTAGGAAAAGGATGAAGATATTTTTGGTCTTCATTAGCATTTCTATAAGCCATAGGGAAAATGGAAAACATATTCAAATACATTTTGGGGCAGTATCTACCAAAAATCCATGCCCCACCTGGAGTCTCAGAATGTGACCCTATTTGGAAGCAACATCTTTGCAGATTTATTGAAGGCAAGGATTGAGATCATTCCCAGCTTAGTGTGGGCCCTAAAGCCAATGAGAGTATCCTTGCAGGAGACAGAAGGGAAGGCAGCCATGTGAAAGCAGAGGCAAAGTTAGAGTTATGCTGTTACACCTGAGCAATGCCAGGAGCCACCAGAAGCTAAAAGAGGCAAGCAAAGATCCTCCTCTAGAGCTGAGAGAGAGTGTGACCCTGCCCATGCCTCAGTTTCAGACTTCAACCTCCAGAACTGTGAGGGAATAAATTTCTGTTATCTTAAACCACCAAGTTTGGGGTGATTTCCTATAGTAGCCTAAGAAAACTGATATAGGTAGAACAGGAAATAGAGAAAGGTCAACACAAATCCTGGGCCAGATTAGAACAGTCTGGTTTTAGTCAGATACCACTTCTGATGAGCCATTCTTATGCATAACTGCATGTGGCATAAACTCCCTGAAGATGTGTTCTCTCTGCTGTTCACATATGGCTGTCCTAACA